AAGGTTGTGGTAGGAGCCAGGGAAGGTTGTGGTAGGAGCCAGGGAAGGTTGTGGTAGGAGCTGGGGAAGGTTGTGGTATGAGCCGGAGAAGGTTGTGGAAGGAGCTGGAAAAGGTTGTGGTAGGAGCCAGGGAAGGTTGTGGTAGGAGCCAGGGAAGGTTGTGGTAGGAGCCAGGGAAGGTTGTGGTAGGAGCTGGGGAAGGTTGTGGAAGGAGCTGGAAAAGGTTGTGGTAGGAGCCGGGGAAGGTTGTGGTAGGAGCCAGGGAAGGTTGTGGTAGGAGCCAGGGAAGGTTGTGGTAGGAGCCGGGGAAGGTTGTGGTAGGAGCCAGGGAAGGTTGTGGTAGGAGCCGGGGAAGGTTGTGGTAGGAGCCGGGGAAGGTTGTAGTAGGAGCCAGGGAAGGTTGTGGTAGGAGCCGGGGAAGGTTGTGGTAGGAGCCAGGGAAGGTTGTGGTAGGAGCTGGGGAAGGTTGTGGAAGGAGCTGGAAAAGGTTGTGGTAGGAGCCAGGGAAGGTTGTGGTAGGAGCCAGGGAAGGTTGTGGTAGGAGCCGGGGAAGGTTGTGGTAGGAGCCAGGGAAGGTTGTGGTAGGAGCCGGGGAAGGTTGTGGTAGGAGCCAGGGAAGGTTGTGGTAGGAGCTGGGGAGGGTTGTGGAAGGAGCTGGAAAAGGTTGTGGTAGGAGCCGGGGAAGGTTGTGGTAGGAGCCAGGGAAGGTTGTGGTAGGAGCTGGGGAAGGTTGTGGAAGGAGCTGGAAAAGGTTGTGGTAGGAGCCAGGGAAGGTTGTGGTAGTAGCCGGGGAAGGTTGTGGTAGGAGCCAGGGAAGGTTGTGGTAGGAGCCAGGGAAGGTTGTGGTAGGAGCCAGGGAAGGTTGTGGTAGGAGCCAGGGAAGGTTGTGGTAGGAAGCAGGGGAAGTTGTGGTAGGAGCCGGGGAAGGTCGTGGAAGGAGCTGGGGAAGGTTGTGGTAGGAGCCGGGGAAGGTTGTGGTAGGAGCTGGGGAAGGTTGTGGTAGGAGCCGGGGAAGGTTGTGGTAGGAGCTGGGGAAGGTTGTGGTAGGAGCCAGGGAAGGTTGTGGTAGGAGCCAGGAAAGGTTGTGGAAGGAGCCGGGGAAGGTTGTGGTAGGAGCCGGGGAAGGTTGTGGTAGGAGCCAGGGAAGGTTGTGGTAGGAGCCGGGGAAGGTTGTGGTAGGAGCCAGGGAAGGTTGTGGTAGGAGCCGGGGAAGATTGTGGTAGGAGTCAGGGAAGGTTGTGGTAGCAGCCATGGAAGGTTGTGGTAGGAGCCGGGGAAGGTTGTGGTAGGAGCCAGGGAAGGTTGTGGTAGGAGCCGGGGAAGGTTGTGGAAGGAGCTGGAAAAGGTTGTGGTAGGAGCCAGGGAAGGTTGTGGTAGGAGCCAGGGAAGGTTGTGGTAGGAGCTGGGGAAGGTTGTGGAAGGAGCTGGAAAAGGTTGTGGTAGGAGCCAGGGAAGGTTGTGGTAGGAGCCAGGGAAGGTTGTGGTAGGAGCCAGGGAAGGTTGTGGTAGGAGCTGGGGAAGGTTGTGGTAGGAGCCGGGGAAGGTTGTGGTAGGAGCCAGGGAAGGTTGTGGTAGGAGCCGGGGAAGGTTGTGGAAGGAGCTGGAAAAGGTTGTGGTAGGAGCCAGGGAAGGTTGTGGTAGGAGCCAGGGAAGGTTGTGGTAGGAGCTGGGGAAGGTTGTGGAAGGAGCTGGAAAAGGTTGTGGTAGGAGCCAGGGAAGGTTGTGGTAGGAGCCAGGGAAAGTTGTGGTAGGAGCCAGGGAAGGTTGTGGTAGGAGCTGGGGAAGGTTGTTGTATGAGCCGGGGAAGGTTGTGGAAGGAGCTGGAAAAGGTTGTGGTAGGAGCCAGGGAAGGTTGTGGTAGGAGCCAGGGAAGGTTGTGGTAGGAGCCAGGGAAGGTTGTGGTAGGAGCTGGGGAAGGTTGTGGAAGGAGCTGGAAAAGGTTGTGGTAGGAGCCGGGGAAGGTTGTGGTAGGAGCCAGGGAAGGTTGTGGTAGGAGCCGGGGAAGGTTGTGGTAGGAGCCAGGGAAGGTTGTGGTAGGAGCTGGGGAAGGTTGTGGAAGGAGCTGGAAAAGGTTGTGGTAGGAGCCAGGGAAGGTTGTGGTAGGAGCCAGGGAAGGTTGTGGTAGGAGCCAGGGAAGGTTGTGGTAGGAGCCGGGGAAGGTTGTGGTAGGAGCCAGGGAATGTTGTGGTAGGAGCCGGGGAAGGTTGTGGTAGGAGCCAGGGAAGGTTGTGGTAGGAGCTGGGGAAGGTTGTGGAAGGAGCTGGAAAAGGTTGTGGTAGGAGCCGGGGAAGGTTGTGGTAGGAGCCAGGGAAGGTTGTGGTAGGAGCTGGGGAAGGTTGTGGAAGGAGCTGGAAAAGGTTGTGGTAGGAGCCAGGGAAGGTTGTGGTAGTAGCCGGGGAAGGTTGTGGTAGGAGCCAGGGAAGGTTGTGGTAGGAGCCAGGGAAGGTTGTGGTAGGAGCCAGGGAAGGTTGTGGTAGGAGCCAGGGAAGGTTGTGGTAGGAGCCGGGGAAGGTCGTGGAAGGAGCTGGGGAAGGTTGTGGTAGGAGCTGGGGAAGGTTGTGGTAGGAGCCAGGGAAGGTTGTGGTAGGAGCCAGGAAAGGTTGTGGTAGGAGCCGGGGAAGGTCGTGGAAGGAGCTGGGGAAGGTTGTGGTAGGAGCCGGGGAAGGTTGTGGTAGGAGCTGGGGAAGGTTGTGGTAGGAGCCAGGGAAGGTTGTGGTAGGAGCCAGGAAAGGTTGTGGTAGGAGCCGGGGAAGGTCGTGGAAGGAGCTGGGGAAGGTTGTGGTAGGAGCCGGGGAAGGTTGTGGTAGGAGCTGGGGAAGGTTGTGGTAGGAGCCGGGGAAGGTTGTGGTAGGAGCTGGGGAAGGTTGTGGTAGGAGCCAGGGAAGGTTGTGGTAGGAGCCAGGAAAGGTTGTGGTAGGAGCCGGGGAAGGTTGTGGTAGGAGCCAGGGAAGGTTGTGGTAGGAGCCGGGGAAGGTTGTGGTAGGAGCCAGGGAAGGTTGTGGTAGGAGCCGGGGAAGATTGTGGTAGGAGTCAGGGAAGGTTGTGGTAGCAGCCATGGAAGGTTGTGGTAGGAGCCGGGGAAGGTTGTGGTAGGAGCCGGGGAAGGTTGTGGTAGGAGCCAGGGAAGGTTGTGGTAGGAGCTGGGGGAGGTTGTGGTAGGAGCCAGGGAAGGTTGTGGTAGGAGCCGTTGAAGGTTGTGGTAGGAGCCAGGGAAGGTTGTGGTAGAAGCCAGGGATGGTTGTGGTAGGAGCTGGGGAAGGTTGTTGAAGGAGAAAGGGAAGGTTGTGGAAGGAGCTGGGGAAGGTTGTGGAAGGAGCCGGGGGAGGTCCGTGGGGTGACTGTGAACACGGTGTGCTGGGGGGTTTGGGTTGGGGGGGGTAATGATGGGGGGGGGGGGGGTGATGGGGGGGCTAGAAGGGGGGGGGGGGGGGCACTATCCCGCACCCCGCGCCCAGACCAGCCCGCTCAGGTTCCACGTGGCGGGCTGGTCTCTAATTGGCAGAGCTGAATGTTAATATTTTGGAGGCCACGGACCCGGACCGCCTCGGCCCCTCACTACGCCAGGGATATTTTAATCGCATTCAATTGTAGCAAGTGACGTTTGTTTTTTTGCAATTCTCTGTCGAGTACGTCACCTTTGCCCTAACGCAATTTATATACGCCTAGCTAATTATGTCATTGTTTGCATAATGTGTTTATGTTCTCGTATTAATTCAAGGTCGCATTTGTAAAGGCGGCTTCTTCTCGTTGTGGACTCTTGTCTGATTCTAAGGACTACCCACGCGACTACCTGCTCACCTACCTAGCCACCCATCTACCTACTACAGTCGCTACCCACCCGCTTATCCACCTATCTACTCACATACCCACCCACCTACCTACCCACCCACCTATCTGCCTACCCACCCACTCTTCACCCCACAATATGCCAACCCATCTACCTATTCATCTCCCTACCGACCCACTCACCTACCTGTCAATAATCACTCATCCAATTACCAATCTACCCACACACCTGCCTGCATGTGTGCCTATCTATGAATCGCCTATCTGCTTTCTCCCCCAGCTACCACCAACAATCTGATTCGTGTACAGGAGCTAAATGGATTGTTGCATCGCTGACCCGTGCCTGATGGTGATGGCTTGGGTCGGCCTTCATCCAGCAGTGGGTAGACCATGGCTGCTGCTGTTGCTGCTGACGAGAGAATCGGAACACTTCGATTCACGCCGCGCACGTCCCAGCAGCACCGCCTCTCCTCTCGCCCCAAACCGGAGGTGCAGTCGAGCCAACATTCAGTGCGATTATGACAATGCGCTATAACAATGCGATAAATACCATACGACTAATGCAATGTAATCATCAATAATGCAGAGGCCCAATCAATCCACTGCAAGGGGGAAGCAGGCCTCCCCACCCCAGCTCGGCTATGTGGGGTTGTTTAGCCATACTTGATCACGCTGGTCAGTTGTCTTGGAATTGCACGGAAAGCGATTTTTTTTTGTTTCAAGAAGGCACTGCATTATTATATTTGGTAAATTTGCTTTGTTTGATCAGCGTGTTTGGAGGTGGGCGGCAACCCAATCGCTCTATTGCCATCTCCTGGCCACTTGGCAGCCCTGCCAGGCTGAGAGTTCCACAAATCTCGAAGTGATCCGACAACCCTTGCTTCCAACGAGCCGGCTTACCGCAATAAGCCTCAGGCACCCGTGCATCGGGATAGTATGACTCCCCGTACGGAGGAAGGGAGAGGGGAAATGCGAGAGGGTAGGATGTAGAGAGGGTGGGACGCATGGATGAAGGGCGGCAGGGAGGGAGGGAGGCATGGAGGTAGGGAGGGAGGGAAGAGAGGAGGGATCGGGGTGCAGGGGAGATGCGGAGAGAGGGATAGGGGAGGGGGAGCGCAGGGGCGGGAATAGGATAGGGTTAGGGTGCTGGTGAAGTAGGAGGGGGGAGGTGAGGCAGTGGTGGTGGTGGGGGGGAGGGCGGTCCGCATCTCCATCATCTACTCCGGCTCGCCTCCGCGGCTCCATCTCCCGAGCAGAACTCGCGACGCCGGGCGGGGCGCAGTGGATCGGGGGGAATCTGAGAGCGCGGAGCGGAGCGCGGGTGGTGGAAGCGGCGAGTTGCGAGCTCTCGGATTGAATCGCCGGCGGCGGTGGCGGCGATGGCCAACGAGATCACAGCGGAGCGCCGGGCTCATAGAATAATGCAGCACGACCGCGCCTGATCCGTGCGCGACCCACCCACCCCACCTACTCCCCTCGGCTGGCTCTGTCCGGGCTCCTCCGCATAACCGACCGCCACGTACCCGGGGTCCGCTCGCTCCTCGCATCGCCTGCCTCTCCTCCTCCTTCTTCCTCGTTTGTCTCGCCGTGTCATCGTCTACCGCTCCTTTGCCGGACCCTTTTCTGCTCGCCAGCATCGCCCATCCGGTGGCTGCCAGGACTCGGCTCAAAGAGGTAAAAGGGAATCGCCGCGGCTCTTGCGCGTCGCCGGTGGGCTCGCTGCTGCATTAATAGGAGCTCGCATATTTTGCGCATCGAGCGAGCCGGTCGGGTGCGGGCGCGCTCATCGGCAGGAACTTCGCGGCGTCCGTGGGTGGGTGGGTGGGTGGGTCGGGATGAGATGTGGGGGCAGCGTGGATTGCTGATCAGAGCTGTTGATGAGGCTGCATCAACAGACCCCAGACGATGCAGCGCGCTGAGATCTCGAAAGCAAATCACTCATTGGAAGCGATTAGCCAAGGATGTCAGTGCGGCAGGGCACTCCTGATAAAGAGTCTTGAGGCTCGGCGAGGCTCTTCGTGGGCGAATTATTATTTATTAGGAAGCGCCCGAACGCAATCGCACATCTTGACTCCACGGCTCACTCTCTCCCTTTGAGGTCTGCAATAGACTCCCCCCCCCCCCCCCCATTCTCTCTCTCGGTGCTTGGCTTGAAATGGCAGCACAGCTAATGAGTTCTTAAATCAATCTGTGCGGACTGTACATTGGAGCGCTGTACTCTTCGATGGGCGGTGTGGGGGTTTCTCCGGATGCGAAGCGGTTGCTGCGATGCATGTCGACAGAGCAAGGGAGAGCTATGTGGTAATTAGACAAAAGTCCCCCGTATAGACTACACAGGCTGTTGGGGCAAGTACTGTTAGCGAGCGCCTATACTTGGCACGAGATGGTGGTGTGCGCTACTCCACGTCCAGCCGCCTTCGTCTCCCCGGTGCCGCTGTTTGCACTCCAAACCAGGACCTAATTTCAGGCTGAGTCTACCTAGGGGAGGGTGGGGGGAGCTTTGGACGAGAGACTTGCGCGCAGGGCGGGCAATGAGGGCGAGGGGAGTTCCAGACAAGGGGCGCAGCAACAGAGACGGGAGCAGAGGGAGCGACCCACCGCCCTTACGCCGACTAAGCCGAGGCTGTGGTCGATCTGCGTGGGAGGCAGGGTACAGTATCGTCCTTGCCACACTCAAACTGCCTTGGTACGAAATGACGAAGCGACTTTGTGTAGCAGAGGTGGATCTATGAACTTCCCACGGTGGGGAGGGGGCGGGGGGAGCGGAAGGAGGGGGGGAGAGCGTGGAGAGGGGTTTCGAAATGATATGTTTTTTGAAAAAAATCATGCAATGTCTATTGGTGTGGAGAGATGATGCTGAGGTGTGTTGTGGTGTGTTGTGATGGGGTGCTCGCGTCAATGATCACTATTCTGGCTCACGACTCGATTGATGGTGATTGCATCACGATGAACGTAGCGGCCACTTGTGTCTGCCGCGGTGGAGGGGATCGCGAACACCCATTGCGTGCAGCAAGCGCATGCACGACGGACCGCCCGTTTTGCACATCCGCTCCTGGACGAGAGCCTCCCTGCGCCGTGCGGGTTGTGCCTGAGGGTTATTTGACCATACTTCACCACGCTGGTCGGTGCGGGTTGGCGTAGCGCGGGGGTGGGGAGGACATCGACGTGGCAGCATAGTACAGTCCAACAATGGCTATCGCTACAACAAATACGAATGTTTGAATAAGATAAATCGATCGCTATTCGTGCGATTTGATACGTGGATTGCATTTGCTTACTGATATGGATCGAGGACTTGGGAGCTGGTGAGGCTGTGTATGGGGATCTGTGGTTCCAGCCACTCCGGTTTTATGAATTGATCCGACTCAACAGCGGGGCATCCCCCCCGGCCCCCACCCCCAATTCCCTCCCTCCTCCCCACCTCCCACAGACCCCTATGGCGATCGCGTTTGTCTCTTAAATCACGGAAATCAGATACAAGCAGATCGAAGCGCCGATAAATACACACGTGCGGTGTGTAAACATCGGTGTGCCAACACCCGCTGTACTAACACGCTGCTAATGCACCACCACCCAATGTGCCAACACTCGGTGCACAAACACACAGGCGGTGTTACCAAAAACCAAGCTTGTCTTCTCGCAAGTGCTGTTTGCGAGCGCCTATTAGCACTCGCGAACGGTGTACGCGTGACCCCTTCCAGCCACAGGAGGCCGCTACATTCACCACGATCATAAAAGAAGAACAGATGCTTGAATTGATTCCATGACACTTATTGCGTCTGAGTGAAGTGATTTATTCCACCAATATCAATGAGATCTTGCCTTATGCTGCAAATAACATTTGTTAATCCGGTAGAAGGTCAAAACCGGTCCAGGGTTTATTCGCTTAAACGAACGCTGTCTGATAACATTGGTCTGGAAAGACGATAGGCTGATGGACTAAAACACGTGTTTCCCACGGACACAAGGAACAGATTTCTTCTACACAACCAGCATCCCACTAAACACGGATCGTAGTGCCAACGTTGGTCCAACGGTGCCATTACAGCGCTCCAGTTATTCAACTTTCAAGTTCATTTTGTTTAACTGGGACGAGAACTCAAGAGACCAGGATAGAGTCTAATTTGCAAGAGTGACCCGGGGAATCAGTCCACCAGCAGGGGGCGATGATTGCTGCTGCTGATGCTGTGTGATCCGAATTGAGCGATTTGCGGTGTAATTTTCTAATTTGACACATTTGGATCCTGACGTCAGCACACAGAGGCCGCACTCTTGCGAATGACGTCAGGGGCTCTTTAAGGTCCACTGCGGAGCAGGCGACGCGTGGATGGCAATGATCGCGGTTATCACACGGCACGCACACGTGCATGCATTTACTTCCCCAAACACATAATATAAATACTGTATATGGGGCCGTCCATAAATGACGTCAGGCATCTAGGGGGGGGGGGGGGGTCAGACATTTGTGACGAGGGGGGGGGGGGGAGAAATGTGACGTCACATCAAAATGCGCAACTTTAAATAAATATAGACAACACGTTCTACTTAATTAAATAGACTTTTTAATAAATGTTTTCTCCTACAACATCAGAGTGCAGCGCCACATTAAATACGCACTACAATGACAATAGTTTAAAGCGATTTGAAGCATGTTTTTTTTTTTTGAGGGGGCGTCTGACTTTTTGTGACGCCGTGTGACGAAGGGGGGGGGGGGGGGTAAAAAATCGTCAAAAATCGCGTGACGTCATTTATGGACGGCCTCTATGTTAAAAAAAAACCCAGTGGGCTCGGTAAATAAATAAACAAACAGACGCGGCGCTGTCCGTTGTGGGGTTCATCCCGCGCGGTGTTCGGCACGATGTCCGACGTTTTGCTCGTAACCCGCCGGGAGCTTCTTCAGCAACAACCGCAGCTCCGGTTAGCACGTTTGGCTAGGTACGGTGCAGAAAGAAGCTCAACATACACAGACACAAAGATCCCCTGTAGAGCCTTAACAGAATGTCGCGGCAAGTGCTGTTAGCGAGCACCTATGAAGGCCGGAACGGTACACGAGGAGGTAAGGTGGCCAGCACCACGCCCGACCGCCTTTGTCTCCCCAGTGGCGATGTTTACACACCGCACCAAGTATTTATTTGAGGCTGAGTCGACCTAGGGGATGCCCAGGACCCGTTCAAATAATCGTCACTGGTGTTGACCGTGAGCGGGAATCGAACTCGGGTCGCCGAGTTCGCAGTGCAGCGCGCTAACCACTACACTACCGCTCCCCACTACACAGACACACACACAGAAACACACAGAGAAACACACATAAACACACAGACACACACAGACACACACAGAGACACACACAGACACACACAAGTGAGCACAAAGGCGGCGGCGAGCTTAATCGATGCAGTTTCTGAGAGCTGTGGCACAGAGACTCACGGCTCTCACGCGATATCTCCCGGGACGCTGCAGGGACGGGGCTGCCTTGGAGCAAGGATAATCGGCATAAGGCACTACCACTAGAGTACAAAATTATGCCTTCTCCATATGAATCTTACATTCTTTGTAATTTATTCATGTAACTCTATGAACTCCTTTGGGACAAAATAGGGCAAGATTAATGTGTTGTGGCTTACATAATTCCCGGAACAGCGTTCCAGACTATTTGGGCTAAAATTACGCCCAATGTAGCTCGACCGTGAAGACCCAGTAAACATGCAACGTTGGTCACGTGGTTGGGACCGTTGGGCCAATGTACCAACATCAGCTCCAACGTTGCATGTTTACTGGGATTCTACATAGTTAAACACGTTGTGGAGCTGTAGGTGCCACTGCATATGCTGCCGATGATGATGATGGGGAGGCACGTGAGCATCCCAGATGGTAGAAGTGTTGTGTGGTTCGCTTTCGCTGACTTTGCTGCTTTGGCAGAGCCATTATAGAGGTCGGTGCTGGGTAAGTGGTTTCATCTCGGATGCACTCACGGCGCAGTGCTGCCGAACCCGCGACTATGCGCGGCGTACATTGATTGTCTCACTGCCGCTCTTCACGATGCGAACAGCGCAACGGCTATAGTTGAGCTCATTAATTTTTCACGCGCGCCTCCGTATAACAGGTGCTAAGCTACGGGGCACGCGCACACCGCTCTGCTGCCTGCCCCCTAGACCAACCACACGAGCCCGGGCACTAGCCCTGGAAAATGGGAGACCCCCTCCCACCCCCTGCCCCGACTCCCACCCCCATCACGGTCACCACCAGGAGAAGCAGAAATCGCTGGGGTCTGCGTAACTTTGACGGCCAAATCCGGATTCATACATCCCATCGTGCGCTTGCTTACTCAAGCAGGCACGCACGCAGCACGCAAAGATAAAAGGTCCCCCAAACGGCGGCGGGATTTAAAAAAAGAAAAACATAACGGGCAGGAACCCGAGTCAAATAGGTGTCCGGTAAAACTCAATCTGCGGTCACAACTACTGCGCCCGAGAGAAATTATGTCGTAGAGTCTACGTGAGCACGCGTCTCATTCCGCTGTTAAGGCTACGCTCAGCTTGGTCAACGTATGGAAATTTATATTTTTTGCCTCTTGACCCAGAAAAAAACCCAAACCCACTGTCAAATGTTTTTTTATAGGGTTTCCTGAGTGGGCAACGCTGGCCAGAGTTTTTCGTTCGGACAGGCACCCCCACCCCACCCAGCTGTATGCAACATTTCAGAAGGATCCTGACGACTTTTTCGTGTGTGCCTCGTGGAAATAACGCACCTGTTACAATGCATGCCTCTCAACGTAATTGTCTTAATGCGATTAGGGCCCCGTGATTTATGAGTCCCCTTATTTAAGCAATTCAGTGTTCAATTACGCTGCCCTCGCCTTCCCCATGGCCCTCCCCCGTCGCTCCCTCTCTGCCGTCAAGTTGCGTTTGTCCGCATTGTGCGTGGGTTTTTTTGCGTACACAATCTCACGATTGAGTTCTAAATGAGTTACGTGGGTTTTTCTTTTTCCTCTCTACCCCCGTTGTTGCCGACCTCGGGTCGGGCTGCGCCGCGTTTAGCAAAGACCCAGAGGCAGTCGAGAGCGAGAAAGGCTGCGTGGTGGGAAATCCGAGGCTTCGCGCGCCAGGGGAAGTGACCGTCGCAGGCAGGCAGGCACCGGGCCCACACTGACAGTCAGCATCGGCCAGATCCGCGTCCCCAGGAGCAGCTCCATACATTTATCAAAGTGCATTAAAAGACTCTCACGTCGATGAATTATGAAACGTGAGCCGAACTCTTGAACGGCGGCCACGTATCTCACTCCCTCTCTCTCTCTCGCTCGCTCCGTTCCGCACGCCCCCATGGCCTTTTACTCCTCGCACTCTCCCCTCCGCCCTCATTTCATCCCTCAGATAATTCCTGCTCCCACCCACGCGCTCACCATCAGGCCCGTCTCCCCACAACGCGACGGCGGGGCTGTGGGAAGATGGTAGGGGCGGAGGGAGTGCAGCTAAGGGTCGCCCATGAATCCAATATTAATTTAGGGAGCACAGTGAATGGTTTGACCCCACCCCCCCCCCCCCCAAGTCCAAATAGAATGGCTTTCCCTCCATAGGGATAGAGTAGCCCCATATCCCTTTTGTTTCCCCTCAGAAGAGCATTATGCCACCGGCAAAAAAATTAAATAATCGCCCGGCCAGTGAGTTCATGAATCAATTACAAATCAAGGCTGAACGGGGTCATAGGCACGCGACCGCATCGCCTCTGCCTCTCTCGCGCTGCTGCTGGGTTAGGCGTGGGTGAATGTCATTACCCAGGTGTGACTTTAAATTGGGTTACGATCGAATCACCCTGAACGCGTCCGATCTCGTCGGATTCTCGGAGGCTGAGCGAGGGTTGGAGCCCTACTTCGTGTTTTGCGGGTGACCACATGGGGCTTTGGCCGGGTGCCGCAGGCGTGGGGCTGCGAGGGTGTGGCCAGGAGGTGGCAGTGTTGAGTGCCCACCCCCCTCGTATGAGTGGGGGGTTTTCTCCGGATACGACAGTTGCCTGTCACATGCCAAACTGTCATTAATGGAATTGAGTTGGTGATACTGCTGCGCTGGCAGGGGCCCACAAGCACAAACAACAACAACAACTCAAAACATTCGGCAATAACACCGTGGGCCTTAAAAATAGTGAAGAGGACATACTCGGCGACGTTTTGGGCAATGGGACCTCTTTCTTCACAGAACATGGAGAGTAAAATTGGCACAATATCCCAGTGTGACAGGACCCTGCTGAAGAAGGAGGGCCCTCCTTCATTGACGTGAAAGTGCCAGGGCTAGCGAGATGTTAACTCCCCTGCCTCGTATGCTGGAGGACATGGGTTCGATCCCGACCTTGACACCTGTATATTTGGCGTTTGCGTGTCTCTCTCCCAGTGGTCACGTGGATTTTTCTCCGAGTTGTCCGGTTTTTCCCTCCACATTTAGAAACATGCCTTTAGAGTTCATGGCTGCTGTACATTTACACACGATAAGCCACTTCGTTGAGCTATCATTTGTGACCAGGTAGGTTCTGAAAAATATTTTTTATAGCTCAGTGGGCCTTACCTGGTAAAATAAGAAATTGTTTAATAGTTTTAGTTTAAGGAGACTAATCGAGGCTTTCCTGGGTAAATAATTGAAAAAAAAACAATCCTCACCACGAGGCAGATTAGCATCGTGACGACGCGGCTGAAACATTTCCCGGGTTATTTACCTTATCGGCGGAAAATGGAAATGTGAACGTTTGAGCCAAAGAGCCAAATTTAGAAGGGACATTCGCCAGCTCGTGGGTCGTGCTCTGGTGCTTAACGTCAGCCGGAACGGTTCGGAACACCACTCTGGCAATTATTCGAGCTCCCAGCCACATCCACCTCGCCTTAATTAGTCCTAACGACATTTACTTCGTCTTGATGTGATTACGTGAACGCAGGGCACAATAATACAGGATTGCTATGGTTAGGCGTAGCTCGTATCCGAGCGATAGTGCATTACTCTGATAATCCCTACTCCGAGGCAGCCTAGCAATGTTGTGGAAAGTATCGAGAGTGAGAAATGAATCTCTGACTGCCCACAGTCCCTCATTAACGGGCACGTGTCCGGCGTGTGTCTACCAGGCCTCGGGATCTCAAGGCGTCCCTTCGCCGTGGGCGTGCGCCCTCCGCCCCCCCCCCCCCCCCCCCCCCCGAGGATCCACGATGGGCGTCTGGCGGCTGCCCCCGCTGCGCTGCCCGTGGCTGCCCCTCGCGGTGGCGGCCGCGGTGCTGCTGGTGCAGGACGCCAGCGCCGAGGTCGACGCGTCGACGGGGGGGAACAAGTCGAGGGTGTGCAACGGCACAATGGAGTGCAGGAAGGGCCTGCTGCTGCCCGTGTGGTTGCCCAGCAATCCGTCGACCGGTGACAAGATCGCGAGGGCGGTGGTATACTTCGTCGGGATGATCTACATGTTCCTGGGCGTGTCCATCATCGCCGACCGCTTCATGTCGTCCATCGAGGTGATCACGTCGCAGGAGAAGGAGATCACCATCAAGAAGCCGAGCGGCGAGACCATCACTACGACGGTGCGCATCTGGAACGAGACGGTGTCGAACCTGACCCTCATGGCGCTGGGCTCGTCGGCGCCTGAGATCCTGCTTTCCGTCATCGAGGTGTGTGGGCACCAGTTCAAGGCGGGCGAACTGGGGCCCAGCACCATCGTGGGCAGCGCGGCCTTCAACATGTTCGTCATCATCGCCATCTGCGTGTACGTGGTGCCCGACGGCGAGACGCGCAAGATCAAGCACCTGCGCGTGTTCTTCGTGACGGCCACGTGGAGCATCTTCGCGTACATCTGGCTCTACCTGATCCTGGCCGTGATCACTCCGGGCATCGTGGACATCTGGGAGGGCCTCGTCACGCTCATGTTCTTCCCGATCTGCGTGGTGTTCGCCTGGGTGGCCGACCGGCGGCTGCTCTTCTACAAGTATATGTACAAGAAGTATCGCAACAAGCGCGGCCTCATCATCGAGTCGGAGGGCGACCGCGTCAAGAGCTCCATCGAGATGGACGGCAAGATCCTGAACTCGCACGGCGACGTGGCGGCCATCGACAGCTCGCTGTCGGCGCTGGACGAGCGCGACGTGGAGGAGAGCCGCAAGGAGATGATCCAGATCCTCAAGGAGCTCAAGCGCAAGCACCCGGACAAGGACATGGAGCACCTGACGGAGATGGCCAACTACCAGCTGCTGAGCCAGCAGCAGAAGAGCCGCGCCTTCTACCGCATCCAGGCGACGCGCATGATGACGGGCGCCGGCAACATCCTGAAGAAGCACGCGGCCGACCAGGCGCGCAAGGCGGCGAGCGTGCAGGAGGTGCGCATCGACGCGGGCGACGGCGCGGGCGGCGGCGGCGACCTGCGCTGCCGCGTCTACTTCGAGCCGAGCTCCTACAAGTGCCTGGAGAACTGCGGCACATGCGCGGTGACCGTGCAGCGCAGGGGCGGGGACCCGAGCGCGACGCTCTACGTGGACTACCGCACCGAGGACGGCTCGGCCAACGCGGGCTCCGACTACGAGTTCCAGGAGGGCACGGTGGTGTTCAAGCCGGGCGAGATGGAGAAGGACATCGCCATCGGCATCATCGACGACGACATCTTCGAGGAGGACGAGCACTTCTACGTGCGACTGAGCAACGTGCGCACTGCCAGCGAGGACGGCGGCGCCGGCGTCGGAGGCGCCAGCGGCGGTGGAAAGTTCGAGGCCAACCACAACAATGCGGCGCCCAGGGCATTGCTGTCCGAGCCGTCGGTTGCCACCGTGATCATCCTGGACGACGACCACGCCGGCGTGTTCCTCTTCGAGGAGTCGGTGACGCACGTGAGCGAGAGCGTGGGCATCATGGAGGTGCGGGTGGCGCGCAGCTCGGGCTCGCGCGGCACCGTCGTGGTGCCATTCCGCACCGTCGAGGGCCTGGCCAAGGGCGGCGGGGAGGACTACGAGGACGCGATCGGAGAGCTGCTGTTCCAGAACGACGAGATCACGTAGGTGCCGGAACACACGCACCCCTTTCCGCTGCGCCTCCCCCTCACGCACGTGCGCACGCCCGCGTGCCACCGTTCCGTGCGGAGGCGGCGGCGTCGTCATCGGTGGAGTAGCTGCCGAGCAGTGCAGGTGGCGCAACCAGGACCGCCCGGAGGTTCTGGAGTTCCTGGGCAGAAGGCCACGTGGGGCCCTGCCCGTTACGAGCGACAAAAATAGGCCCGGCGTGGACGCCCTCTTTTGTGCGAGGCCCGGGGGAAATTGCCTGTTTTGTATGTGCCGCATTCTAGGCAGCCCTGGGTGTAACTGCACCAGGATCCACGGGGCGGAGGGGCCCAGGAGTTGAGTTATGAAGAGGGAGGGAAAGGTGGAGCCATTTAACCTCTCGCACCATGGCCCATACCATCCACACCCGCAATCATTGGCTGTCGTGTCGGAAGTTTTACTTCAGTGGCCAGTGTTTGCCGTGTTGTTGTTGGAGCTGGGTTTGTGTTAGAGTTGGGTTTTTCCACTCCTCTGGATTTGCTATTTTCCCGGATGTTTCTTTAAATGAAAACCTCGATTCCCCCCCCCTACCCCCCACGTAGTTCACATCTAATTTAATTCAACCAAAAGGTTTATGAAATGTAGTTCTACATCCGTAGGATTTTGTTCTGATCTGGTTGCGCTGCCGGGAGCTACTCTGAGAGGGGGCATTACCATATGCAATTATTTAGGCGTCGTTTGTCGTAATTTAGAGCAGCGTAGCTCATCTCTTATTTATATTTATGCCGGTGTCGCACAAGGCCTGCTAGCGCTTCCATTAAGGTGTTTTAGAGCGGCGGGGCCGTTATTGCATTAGCGGAGAACAAACCTCGCTCTAAATCTCCGTGAGCGATGGAATAATTTTCACGAGACTTGCGCGGTGCAAAATGTCTGTCTCTCTCTCTCTCCCCGCCCTGTACGTTCCGAGCGTGAGCGGTACATGCACCGTGCGTTTTTTCATCTTAGCGCACTCTCCCAGACCACCCCCACTCCCCTACCCCTCTGCCACCCTCCCACGCTTTGGTAATTTACCCCCAACCCAATAATTACTCGGGACGTGCTGAGAGTGCAATGCGCGTGCCCGGAGGTTGGCTCCGTGGCCCCTCCATCGATTTTTTTTTTTGCGATGCGGAAATCGAGAGGGGACATGGCTGGTGATACGTTACCCGTATTGACGGCTGGCGTGCACGGGGGTCCTGGGAGCCACGGTGTGAAGAGGACCTCGCCCGCCCGCCCGTGCGCGCCGCTCGCCCCGCGTGTCCGCGCGAGGGCCGCGTGGAGCACACGGTGGCGGCGTTGTTGTTGTGTGCCGAGCACGCAGCGATCCCGTTTGCCTTCCGAACGTGGCTGCGGCACTGCAAGCGCGCGTTTGTTCGCCGTGTGCGGGCGGGATGCCGGTCCTCGCGGGGGCGTTCGTCTTCATCTGGCCGTGGTGCGGACGGAGCGAGGAAAAGCGGCTGGGGTGCAGGGAGCGAGATGATGGACTGTGGCCATCGCAGGACCATGAGTGATGGGCAATGGTGTTGGAATGATGATGATGATGACGACGATGATATACATTGGGTGTCTATAGCCACACCTGCACATCTGTATGCTGCGTGAATATATCAGGGGATGCTCAGTGTTTGCGAGGTGATCTTTTCGCAGTTTGTATGAGCAGCAAATAGCGCTGTATTTGTTTTCACATTCGTTAAAGCGGTGCAGAGTGGGTGCGGTGAGTGCGGTGGGTTGTGGCCGAGCATGATGGCCCCGGTGGACACGGCAGGCTGGTGGACTCGATGGGTTTGGTGGTCACGGCGCAGTCGCCCTGTCAGCGCACATGGGCTGAGGCCGAGCGGCTTGAGGTGGAGCGGCGTTGCGCGATCAGCGTGCCCCGTCCGGTCCGTGTTTCACGTGCAACGTGAGTCCTGCTGCAAGCGGCGCTGATTCAACTCTTCAGATCGCCACGCGAAGGATTCCGCACTGCCGCTCCAAACAACGTACGGTGACTTCGCTAGCGCGATCCGCAACTCCGAGTCATGCTTGAACCTTAATCCGTTCGCGAAATTGCCCACGTTGAAAATCGTCTTCTTATGATTGAAAGATAATGCCATTATTCATCACATTCAACGGTGGCAACTGTAGCGGCACCACCGCACGTGGGGTCCCCCTTTGCCAGGGGTCAGCGGGGGAGGGGGGCGGGGGGGGGGACCGGTGGCAGAGCCCTGGTGAAGGCGGCCGCACGGCGATCGGTGGGGGAAAAAAAAAGCGACGAGGCCTGCGCACGCGTGTTGTTTCCCGGCTAAAACCACAAACAAAATTCTCTCCCAGCCATGAAAAAGGGCAAATCCCACTTCGGCAATGCCCCCTTGCAACAAAAACACCCACCATGGGCTGGTGGCATTCGCAGTTGACATTAAACACACAAACCGAGTCACGCACTACAGACCACTACGGGCACGTGGCAGCCTTCCATGACTAAAGGCCGCTCGCAGTGGAGAAGCGAAAGTGGGGGGGAGGGGGCGGGGGGGGGTGCTCTAGAATCCGTGATGCGTTTGGCTCTCGTGCCGCCGGCGCCACCGTGAGTGTCTCCACGGGCCCCCCCCCCCCCCACCACGACCAAGTTCCCCGCGCGTCGCCGCGGGCTTCACGGTGCGAGTTCACGGTGATGCGTGGCGGCGTCACGTTCGCTATTTGTTTTTTTTGTGAAATCTACAGCGGTCGTCCCGCCCCAACCCACCCAACCACCCTCCAGCCTGTAACAACATCAACGTGATCCCGCGGTGTTGTGATTCGGGCACGCAAAGTGCACAGCCCTGTGGTGGCTAATTGTCACCGTTGGGCTAATTGCAGTTTGGGCCCGGAACGATTGCTCCTGTGTGTGTATGTGTGTGGAGGAGCGGGATGGGTGGGTGGGCGCCGGGGTTCAGTGGCGTGCGGGTGGGGGGGGTTTGGGGGATGCCTTACTTTAGGTCATGGCCGGAGGTCACGTGGCATCCGGCGGGGTCATGGGAGGACAGTGAACACCATCACGCACGGCCCCACCGTGTGCACGCACGTATATGCCGACATGCGTACACACATGGGGGGGGGAGGCCGAGGGGCCATGAGAGACGCTGCCCCCCCCCTCCCCTGCCTCCTTCATCCACTACTCCTGGCAGGCTCTGCTAAACACGTTATTATTTTATTTGCCAAACTTTCCGCTTATTTTTCTTTCAAATCCATGTTTGTATTCCAAACGCGCTATCGCCACCGTGTCACAACACCGATATATTTCCATCCGGAACTCTGCAGCGAGCAGTGCACCACACCGTGTCCACTTAGACAGCCGTGAAAGATGAGGTCACGGAACCTCTTGTGAAGTCGCATCAATTGACACCTTCATCCACACTCCATGCCCTGAAAGGATTATCTGTCACGCCCGTCAAACTGAAAATGTATAAGAGATGGCAGTGAACGAAATTATGTGCACCACAACAGTTGGGTTTTTTTTTAGTGTGTCCAGTCATTGGTAACCATCGACCAGATGAGACTCATCAACTCTCACCTGCCTGTTCATGCTCTCACCTTTTTCAGCTTCCACTTATTTAGGCCTTACCTGTCCAGGCTTTCACTTGTACAGGCTCTGCGCCTCTTGAATTCTCGATCGAACAATGGGTCCAATTCGTGAAATATTCGTGCATTATAAATCGTGCCTATTATAATTATTATTATTCCAAAAACAACTTTCTGTACTACCACACCCTGGCCATATCACATGCTCCACCAGGTGACAGTTCCCAGCTCCACGCAGCGGAGCGGTGCGACTGGATTGGTTTCAATTGTAGGGTGCCGGTCGCAGCTCCCTGGAGGATCGCAGCAACTGTAGTCCACTCCTGTTTCTGCTGAACCCGGGAAATTCAATGTCCTGAGTGAACCCGCTCAGAATAGCCGCCCGGGACACCACACACCTGCTGCAGCACTCACGAGCAGGGAATCCGGGGAAGCGAAAACACACGAGGGGATTACACCCAAAGGTCCGCACGGATAGATTCAAGGATCAACTGCTGCACTGCCATTGTGTGGCGACCTCGCAGCCCCCAAGCCTACAACACCTGGTGTGCATCGGTAGTCACCAATATGAGATCTGACCGGGCTCTTCCCCTGCTTAGCTCCGGAGATCCAATGAGATCGGCCACGTTTCTGAGTGACTCGGCAGTCGTTATTCATTGATTTATTCACGAGCGGCGACACCATTCGACGCGCGGCGTCGTCATTCCGCCGGCGACAAGTGTTGACGGAGGTCGTCGTCGCCAAACGTTGGTTTGCCAGGCCAGAGGTTTGCGGCCCTGTGGTGAAATCAACGGCTTTGCGCGGAACATCAATTGAGCGGCGTCTGGTCGCACACGTCCGTGCGCGTGTCCGTGCACGTGTCCGTGCGCGTGTCCGTGCGAGTGTCCGCACGCCGCCAATCTTCGTGGCCAGAATTCCTCACCGCGGACAGAATTACCATCCAGCGCGGCGTCGTTACCGTGCACGAAATTCCATTGGTGACACGAGGTCGGGGGAGGGGGATGGGGGGCGGTGGGGGGGTATCGCTGCCGGGAGACCGGGACGGGTTGGTGGGGGGAGGGAAATCCCGGCGAGGGTTGTCACGGCGGAGCTCGCTGTGAGCGAGGCTCGAGACAGCTGTGCTGGGGGTGTGGTGGAACCCCCTTTGGCCGTCTCTCGCCGCGCCTCCCGCCCGGCAGTCCATCAAACTCGTTTGCATCTGAGCGCGGCTGCCGTGGTGCCTGTGGCCCTCGGCTCGAGACTAATAAGGCCGGAGTCATCCTCCTCTTACTCCTCCTGCTCCTCACATGGGCCCTCGCAGAAGCTGCACGGAATAAATGAGACGATGCACCCCCCTGCCCCCCCCCCCCCCCCCGCTCTGTGCCAGCACTCACCAGGGCTCCCCAGATGCAACATTTTCAGGGAGTAATCAACCGCGAGGACTCGTGTGCCCACAGTTATCGCTGCT